GCTGAGCCCAGTGCCTCCATCATGGGTGCCCCCTCACCCCAGCCTTCAGGGACCCATGGGCACAGGTCCCTTCCCAGCACAGCTCCCCAGTCCCGCGGCACCCCCCTCCTCCCCCCCAAAAAAGGCTGAGCGAGCACGGCTGCGCCAAGACCTTTGCCTTTCTGCAGGAAACCACACTGCTTTCCCTCCCTACCCTGCAGGACTTCAGCGTTCGGGAGCGGATCAAAAAATAACTTGTTTTCCTAAGAGGGGTGAGCTCAACGCAACAGGATCCTGTCCCGAGCCCCCTGGCATCTGGTGCCCTTTGCAGCACTCTCGCAGCATCCTGCCCCGCGCCCAAGTCCCCACCAGGGCCAGCCAGCACCCTACATGGGGAAGCCGGGCTCTCCACCCTGGGGAGACCATGTAGCTGTTAATAAACATTAGCAAATCGCTGGGGCTTTCAGTGGCCACATGTGTCTGTCAATATGTGCTTGTCAGTCACGGCGGGGCCATGGTTAATGCTTGCAAAATCTGTATTGCAGTGAAGGGGTAGTGCGAGGGACAGGTCTATATTTATCCCTTCGAATTGAGACGGCAGCTAGAAGCACGCAGCATCAGCTTCCCCATCCTGGCTGTAAGACCTGGCCACAGCAACTGAAACAAAATCCAGAGGGACACCTTGCTGTGACACCCTGCAGGCTGGGGCCGGGGAGTATCTGCTTTTCCCCCATCAGTGAATTACAGGCACAAGATGGTGCGTTAGGGGCACAGGGGGTGCGTGCTGGAGTCCTGCTGCTGCGAGGGGTCAGCGTGGTGGGAGTGCTGGGGGGCAGCAGGGGGCCGGGACACTGGTGGCAGGCCAGCCTCGCCAAAACCCTGCTTGCTGCTGCATGTGCAGCAGCTCCGGGAACATCTCCAGCAGTGTGGTGGCAGCGTGCAAGGGCTGCCCATCCCTGGCTGTGCCCCATGCAGCTCTCGAGGAACAGTGGGGCTTGTTTTACACCGCCTGTCCCAGCAGGAGCTCGGCACTGTCCACCAGCTCATTCCCTCGGCACATTTCCAATGTGGCCAGTGACTTTCCCTTTGCCGGAGAGCCAGGCTCCGTTCAACCGTGAGGAAAGACTACCTTACCCCAGGCTGGGGCTTTACCTGGAGGCATGGGGACATCTGTCCCGGGCTCTCACAGGGCTGCACCACATCATCAAAGCAGGTAAAGCATCATTTCTCCCTTTCCTCTCCTAAGCATGGCTGAATGCCGCTCACTGGCTGTGCTAATAAATGGGCGCAGCGGGAAAGAAAGAGGTCTGGCATCTGCCCCGGTCTGTGCCGAGTTGGCCGGGGCTGCCGCACGCCTGCTGCCGGGTACGCAGGCAGAGCTGGCTCGGCACCGGTGCCTGGCTGCAGCCAGGCCTGCCGACGGGAGGGCATGCAGGCAGCCATGCTCACAGCTGGCTCTCCCTGCCCGGGCTGGGGGCTTGGGGCCGGAGAGTTGCCTGCCCAAATCTCAGGAGCTGGGATGGGGCACAAGAATTTACCTTGGCGTGGGCAATTGTGGGGCACCAGCAGCTCCCCAGGGCACAGGCACCCCAACACAGTGGTTGTGCACAGCCCAGCCCTGGCATGGAGCGGAGCAGGGAGCCAAGACCCATTCATCACCAGCCCAGAGTGGGGGCGACTGAGCAAGAGGGGGCCAGTGGTGGCCCTGCTGCTTGGTGGGGCACAGGCAGTGAGCACAGGGCTCCCTTAGTTCATCCAAGGTAAATAACCGCTGTTTTCTCTGAAGATGATGCGTTCTTTGCCATTAATTGATCTGGGCATTTGTAACTTGCCTCTTGCACCGCTGTCAGTGTACACTTTCTCTTTTCTCCCTGGAGAACCTGGTAATTAGGCTTTTATCCAATAAAAGTGGAGGGGGGGGGTTGAAGCAGAGATAGTATTAGTTTGTTTTAACTTGATGAAATACGCTTTGGCTTGAAATAATTACATGATTTGCACTTAGCACCTCTCAGCCCAGGGCATTAAAGTCATTTACAAGCAATTATGAAGCCTGCTGGGAAGATGCTTTTATCCCCATTTTACAGACACAACATGGAAAACAGATGTTGAGGCTCTGCCCTGGCTCCTTGGCAGGGTCTCCCGGGAGTGCTGCCTCCGTGGGACAGGGCAGGGGCAGCAGTGGGCATTGCCACCAGAGCAGAGATCTCAGAGCACTGAGAAGTGAAAATCCGGGCCAGTGGCCATGGTGGGGTGGCTGCCCAGGGGTGCCACCAGCACCACTCTGGGGCTCAGCGCTGCCAGGGGGAGGGAGATGGGGAGGATGGTGGGACAGAGAGGTGCCAGGGAGATGTCTGGAGACAGACAGAATGGCGAGGAGCAGGGGGGCTGGAGGTGAGGTGGGAGCTGCTGGGGTGCAAAGGGATGGGGAAAAGAGGGGGAGAGGGCTGGGGAGACCCGACACCGGGGAGGTGCTGGTGAGTGCGGGGGGTGCAGCGCCGGGAACCTCCTGGGGATGGGGCAGGATCTCTATCCCCCCCCTCCCAAAAAAACCCTCCGGGGCACAATCACTCCACCGGTTTCCCGCAGAACACTACCGACTTCGCGTGCGGTCCCGGACCTCCACACCCCCGGCGGAAGGGCGGGGAGGGGGCGGGAAGAAGCAGTAATTTTGGGAAGGAACGGCGCGCATCCAGAGTCCCTCCCGCTGAGACGCGGAGGCGACGCGGAGGCACCGCC